GGCGTCAGGTGCCGGGCGCGCGAGACCAACTGCTTTGAAATGTTCATATATATAGATAGATAGATAGATAGATAGATAGATAGATAGATAGAAAGATATAAATATATATATATATATATATATATATATATATATATATATATATATATCTCTCTCTCTCTCTCTCTCTCTCTCTCTCTCTCTCTCTCTCTCTCTCTCTCTCTTCTCTCTCTCTTTCAAATATATACATATACATTTGAAAGATTCCATCCAAAAGTTTTTTCAGAATTAATTTGCACCGCTTGGAGAAGAAAATGGGATGTGTGTTTCATCTGTAAATTTTGAGTTTGACCTCCAAACAGCTTGGCGGTAACAGCAACACGACGAAAGATATATTGCCTTTACTTTTCCTGTCCAACCTCCAGATTCCAACACCATTTCGCAGTGCTGCGAATATTAATTCTTTCCTGATGTCAGGCCAAATATCGTACAGGTGAAATATTCACCCGCGCTCTCTTTTGAACACATACACACACACACACACACACACACACACACACACACACACACACACACACACACACACACACACACACACACACACACACACACACACACACACACACACACACACACACACACACACACACACACACGTATATAGATATATGTGATGTATGCATATATATACCCAGCCCACCCACCCAGCTCGATCCGTTGCTGCCGGCGCACACTAACGTGGTGCGCCGTTTGTTTCTCATGGCAGAGTGATCCACGAAAAGGCCCGAGTTTATGGGTTCATGGGTGAGTTCATGGGTGAGTTCTCGTGAAATAAGTTGGGGAGGCGGGCTATACAACATGGCTAAACCTACTCAGAAAATATGCTATATCGTGCTCCTTCACATGTTCGACCCCCCTATCCTCTCAAACTTGGACGGGCTGAAGCATGGGTGTCGATACCTCGAACCTATTTGGGGGGAACAATGCCGTGGAAGTCGCGAAAAGGGGACAGGTACGAGAACCTTCTCAGATTGCATCCACTTATGCCCGAGTTATCAATTATATATGTTGGAATATTTTGCCAGAATTCTTTCTTTGTGTATTTGTGTATGTATATATATTAATAAATGTATGTTTATATATATATATATATAGTATATATATATATATTATATATATATATATATATATATATATATATATATATAATTGATAACTCGGGCATAAGTGGATGCAATCTGAGAAGGTTCTCGTACCTGTCCCCTTTTCGCGACTTCCACGGCATTATTCCCCCCAAATAGGTTCGAGGTATCGACACCCATGCTTCAGCCCGTCCAAGTTTGAGAGGATAGGGGTGTCGAACATGTGAAGGAGCACGATATAGCATATTTTCTGAGTAGGTTTAGCCATGTTGTATAGCCCGCCTCCCCAACTTATTTCACGAGAACTCACCCATGAACTCACCCATGAACCCATGAACTCGGGCCTTTTCGTGGATCACTCTGCCATGAGAAGCAAACGGCGCACCACGTTAGTGTGCGCCGGCAGCAACGGACCGAGCTGGGTGGCCGATGACAGGCCCCTGCTTTCAGGCGGTGTTTCCTCCTTTCCAAACGCCTCAGGCCCGCTGGTGGGCAGCCTGAGATCGCAGATTTCCGACCAGTGCACCTGCGGCGTCTGCCGGTACTGAACCGCCCCCCCCCCCCCCCACACACACACTACCCCCACACCATCCCCGCAGGTCAGAGCGGGACATGCCACTGCTCATCGCACGCCTGGAGAAAGCCTTGCCGGGCGCCTCCGACTGGTTCTCATGTCGTCTAATGGGGTGCAGTACTACTAAGACTGTACTCTGAGACTGTACTCTTCCTACAAGACTCTGCTGACGCTACGACGTGCGCTTCCGCATGCTCACGCCAGATATGACAATTCAACCCCGTCTCAAAACCGAACTGCGAGAAGCCTCGTGTTTTGAGTGAGCAGACCCTTGATGTCTGATGCTCGCATTGACCCGTGGTTTAACAACTGTACCGCGACGTCTTTAACTCCATGACACGCAAGGCATAACATAATCTCTGAATGACGCTAATACATATATCTTACCGTTTGAATGACATGAAACTAAATTTACCATCTGAATAGCACCAGGATAGTGCAGTGAGTGAAAGCGACATCAACATCAAAATGTTAGCAGACTTAGACTTAGACTTAGCGTCTGAATAGTTGAGACTAATATAGTTTAAACTATTTTTTATTATATTTTATTATATATTAAAACCAAAATATTTTTAGACTAAGTCTGAGTAGACTTAGCGTCTGAAAAGACTTAGCGCCTGAAGGAAATTAAGATATAGGTCACCGTCTGAGTAACACCAGGTCATAGGTCATCGTCTGAATGACACTGAGATATAGCTTTCCTTCTGACATCATCTATCTAATCGCTAGCCCTGTGGTTAGTGTCTTCAATATTTTTTATTTATCTTATTATTTTCTATTCATCTTACTTCGTTATCTTCAATATTATTCAATATGTGTTTGGCTGCATCTCTATGTGCTCTCAGACGGAGGACCACAGACGCATCACACGCAGGAGCTGGTTAAAGACTACGCACGTGCTGGCTGCAGAAGAAGGAAAACGAGCGTAGCTCCGCGTATTCGAAATACGTAAAGCGGTTCAGCGATGAGCAGTGCCGCTGTTGGGCATCGACCATCCGCAATGAAGCAGGGCGACCGGCCGACTGGCCGACCATCTGCCAGGCATTGAAGGACGTTGAAGACTTCTGCACGCCGACACGCAGTCTCGCGGTCCTTCACTGCGGCCGGGGCCGAGAACAAATCGGCGAAGGCGTTCGCCGAGTTTTGGCGCCGCTGAACCAGATAATTGTCTACGACGGATCCACGATCGGCACTGGGCTAGCTTAAGGCACGACTGACTCAGCGGTATCGCACAGAAACAGTTAGAGGCAGCGGAATAGCGCATCAGTTGCCTGACCGCGCGTGTCTCGGCATTTTCGTGTCGGATGTCTTGCTCACTGGCTCCACTGTTTTATCCCGCATAACTCAACTTCAAAAACCGTGGTGTCTCGGGGAACGCAGCTAAAAAAGTCAACACTAGTTTAGGTGTCAGGCTACGCCACCCGTTTTGGTGTCAGTTTCTGCTAACATTTTGGTATTGTACGCCTTCGGGCCCGTGGTTTACTCCTTGATGTTTCGTTTTCCGCCGATACCGTCAGCGTAACACATTGTAATGGTGATTACAGTTACAGTTGCAATTGTTGTCAAATACTCCACTATTTTGAGTGGGCGCAGGATGTCTAACAAAGTCGACGCGCCGCTAAACCACCAGTATCACCATCAGTCAAGTAATCCAGACATAGATGTGCGAAGGCATCCGATGCACATGGTCGATTTTCATCTAATAAGCGGCTTTTCCTTCCACAGGTTCTTGGCGATCTGCTGCGGCATGCGCTGCCACATCTCCCGCCGTCGTGCGCGGCTCATTATCGCCGTCATCTGGCTGCTCCCCATCCTGGTCATGATGCCCTGGCCACTGTTCTTCGACCTACGCCCTCAAGGCGGCGTCCTCATCTGTCAGGAGGTGTGGCCCAAGGGCATGGACGGCAACCTCTTCTTTCTCATGGCAAACCTCATCCTCTGCTACCTGTTTCCGCTGCTGCTCATCATCGTTTGCTACGTCGGCATCTGGGTCAAGGTCTCCAGGTGAGAGGGTGATTTCCGAACTAGTTCACTGTCTCCGCCCTGGTGTGCGCGAGTGTATCCAAACATTTTTAACCGATACTGCTTCTAGGATCACTGTCATATGACTAACGTCTGGTGTATCAATATAGTAAGCAAACATACATCATGAACGCGGTATGTATGCATATAAGTGCATATGAGTACGGGGTATTGGTTGTCAAGCAGATGACAAACATAGGCACGCACTACGTCAAGCGTATCACAAAAATACTCTGCATAGGCTGGTGTATTTAGGTGATTTGGGTGCGACAAAAAACGAAGCGAAACATTAAAAAACTGTCAGAAAGGCTTCTGGCTAAAGTGTTGTGGCACTCATCACCATGATACGTCGAATAACTGGCCGACTGACTGACTGATCCAATCCTGATCGCATGCTAGTGAATATAGCTTATGCAGGTTTAAGATTTGATATCGCCTATAGGTTTAGCACATCACTCACATCGATATGGCATACACACGACAGTCTTTTCTATTTTCGATGCACACTTCTTTACATAAGTCACTTCACATTATAACTCGTTGTCACATGACCTGAGCTGCGTCATCGCATTCTTCTCTCCCCTCAGACGTGACATCCCTGGCGACTCCAAGGACGTGCAGCTGAAGCGCATGCAGCAGCGCTCCAAGTTCAAGGTGGTCAAGATGCTGATGGTGGTGGTCGTGGTGTTCACTCTCAGCTGGCTCCCGCTGTACGCCATCTGCCTGCTGGTCAAGTTCTCCGACATGGAGCGGCTGCCGGCGAGCGTGCACCAGCTGCTGCCGGTGGCGATGCCGGTGGCCCAGTGGCTCGGCGCTTCCAACTCTTGCGTGAACCCTGTGCTCTACGCTTTCTTCAACGCCAAGTACCGTCAGGGATTCCAGGCGTTGGTGCGCTCGGGAAGCTGCTGCACACCGATCAGGATCGACATGCCGACGGACTCCACTTTCCGCCGCTCCTCGCACTTCCACACGGTACAGACAAGTGTCAGTCCGGCGGAGGTGGCGCCCTCCTCGCAGCTTGCACTTCTCAAGGTGGCCGAAAGAGGGCAGCAGCGACGAGGCATTACCGGCGTGTAGATGTCGTGGCTGGCTGTTCGGCGCTGCTTTTTGATCAGCGCAGGCATGGTTTTGGAACAGCAGGGTAAATGTTCGTAGTTTGGTGAACTGAACACCGCTCCTTCCAAGTGGATAGCCTGTGGGGCTACGTTGTTGTGGCAAGGTTGCCTTTACCGTATGCGCGTTTGATAGACAGATGCAGGTAAGTATGCAGTAATAGGCAAATGTAGCTTACGGCAGGTGAAGCAATCTCTATGTTCTTTTGTAGGCGTGATAATGCACATCTGATCGATGTTGCCGCATGGTTTCAGGAAAGCTGGAGTCTGGCGCAATGATCCTGAAGCAGCAGCCATACTTTTACTTTTCCTTGGAGCTGTACCGGTTTACGATGACGACAGACAGAAAAGAAACAATGCACCTGATGGGCATGCTTAAAGCTCCACCTTTGCACTGAGACTGTTATACTGTTGTAGGGCGCTAAACATCTTTGAATGTATCTTGTCACGGAGAGAATGGTGGCATTGCTAAATTTAATTCCGAATAGCTTGTGGAGTTGGCTTGAACAGATACTAGCTTAGCAGCACTTGCTGTGCAGTACCATAACGCAGCCGTCCTTGTTGAGCGATTCCATTTCATAAGATAATTTTGTTTCTGACCACATAGGACTTCATTTGGTTCTCTTTTGACACCGCCTTTGACACTTTGGTAGTACACCGCCTTCCCCACGACAGATCGATCCACGGCAGCCCTTAAAGAGATGGCCTTTCCAGGGCTGTCGGCAATACAGCGGGCGTTTTGTGGGTTTTTCCCATTCCGTTGGGATTTTACCGAGGGCGCGGAAGAGGTTGGTCTATGTTAGAAATCATGCCCTTACAGGAATTGTTTATGGATGGCAAGATTAGAAAGGAAGGAAAAGAAAAGAAAAGTCAAGAGAAGAAAACGAGGGAAGAAAAAAACCAGCAAAGTACGCGTCATTTCAAACAGATCAGCAACCTGCCTAAAACGCGAAAACGCACGCGCGAGACTTGCTCGCAGCTGCACAGTTTTGTCTCAGGGATCCAAAGTGTACAGTCGAAGCCTGTGGCATAGTCCGTTGTTGGTTACTGATGATGAGGCTTATTCGAGGGGCGTGTAATTTGCAACTCTGAGTGGCTTAATAACGCGCAGCTTTAATTCCAAAAAAAAACACAAAACGAAGAGGTGATTTAGTGACTGTTGAATGGTGGTCGGAGGCAGGGGCTCAACTGGCCTTACTTTATTGTGGTGTTTGTTATTTGCACTCAGCTTCCATAAAATCAACGATGCTTACAAAGAAGGATGCAAAATATTACTTAAAGATGTGAGCGGTATGCTTATGAAAGACATATGCAACACTTACAAAAAGCCTTACTCTTCAGTTGCTCCGGCAAAGCCCTCATACACTTTTCCCTCAGTTAGCATGTAATGCGTTGATCCAAATTGTCAATCGTCCCTAGCTATGCCCGTATAGCAAGTTTTGCTACAAATAAGAAAGCGGGGAGCAGCATAAGCATCTACATATTCGCAACAATTGTGTGAAACAGATATGACGCATTCGCCTGATTCTGACGTCGACTTCACACCGCTCCTCAACTTGCTTATTTGGCTCCGGATGCGTTCACGCATAATTTGAAGGATCAAACGTGATGAGACAGTGTTTCATCATCATAGGAGACATGCCATGGGCCTGGCTGGTTTCCAAATTTACCCCCTGACATTTGGCGTGTTTCGCGAGCAGAAGTCAAGTCGTTTGGATTTGACTGTGCTGTGCGCACGTGCTGATGTGGTGCGGTTTCCAAAGTGCACTTTGGATGTGCAGCACGCTCCGTTTTTACGCGAGGTGTGCATATGTGACAACTGTGAGTAGTTTTGTAGCGTAAATCCGGCGTTCGAGTCCACCGCCCATCGAATCACGGTATGACGTCACACTAAACACCCTCAGCTGTGACGTCATCACACGACATTTTGGAAGGCAGGAGCGCCGTGTTATATCATAAAACGACGGTTTTTCGACAAGATTTTAAACGCGGTGGTGTGCAGACGCTTATCTGCCATTCGTACGCACATAGCAGAACCACTGACACACAAATACAGTGGTATACCAGCTGCGCTCCAGTGTGATGTAAATACGCAACGAGCCTTGTCATTGTCTGTGTTTGAACATGATCTTTGGAAAGCCGCAGCGAAGTGCCGCCCATCTAGATTTGTACGATGGGCGCACATTTCGGTGTGATGCTGGCCTCCCCGAAATGTGCTGGGGTTGATGGCGTGTGTGCGGACTAGCTGGAGAAGTTTATTGGCCTATGAACGCCATAGTGCGTAATGCCATGGCATGATCATGAATCGCTATGCTGTGTAGGTTTATAACCGCTGGCACGTGCTGTCTTGCGCTTTTCGATGTTCTTTTTTAGTACGCGGTAGGCCGGTTCCTTACTCCTGTACGTGATGTTCTTTCGGCAAGGCATCTTTCAGGTGAGACACGTCGCTGCCGGCTTTCCACACACTGTGGACTGCCACTTAGAAGGCCTTGGAGCGCGCTGGTCGCCTCGGGAGGAAAGTGACGTCACTTACGGAGCGATGACGTCACCTGGGCTTTACGGGTGTAAAATGGGTTTATACGGGCCTGGGCGCCCCTCGCCGAAGCGAGGCAAGATTGATAGCTAGTGTTGATGCGGTAATGCGCCGCGGTGCTGCAAACGCACGACGGCATCTCCGCTTCGACGCGCGGCGGGACGTGTTTTGCACCTTGTAAGTTCGTCGATCAGAATTTACGAGCGTCGTGCTTGTTGATGTGTGCATGCGACCATTAAACAACTGGCTCATTCGAAGCTTATTTTTAGGCGACGCGTTGCATGATGTTACAAAGAGCATACCGTGCTTGGGCTGTCGCTGCGTTGACGGCTGGCGATAGCACACATCGTCATTCCGCGACACTTAACTAGCATGTGAATCACGTAGGCCACCCAAGGCGACGCACCTCAGCAGCGGTGCAGCAGTATATTGTACAGTTACGTCTCTCAGCGGTATAGGAGGCCACCACACTGCGTCTAGCCGCCACCATAGCCCGCTGTAAGCCTGACAACCCTCAGCATTCTGGCGAGACTTGCGATCCGCCAGCTCTCCGTGGTAGCGACGCGGATGATACAGCTGAACCGGTAGCTTTCCTCCCTCACCGTTGTCGTCTAGCGGTGCCGTGACGCCGGCACAACGTCGACATCGGACGGCGGACGGCTGGCGCCCGTGTCACGCCGTCACGTGACGTGACGCGGGCTGGCGCCGCTCCGTAGCCAACCAGCACCGGTGACCTGTCCGTGGTAAGCGAAGCAGCGAGGTCACGTTGTCTGTGACTGGAGAGGCCGGCGGTGTTTTGCACGCAGGTCGGAGGAGGCGGCTGACTTCTGGAGCTCTAGGTGTCGGTTGTGCTGCGGTCCGCCGCGAGACAGCCGGTGGAGGACCGACGGCATTGCCACGTTTACCAAATGTGTTTGGGGAACGGGGCACGACATGTGTTTGGAGGGCTTGTTACGACGTGGGTTTAGAGAGCGTGGTACGACATGTATTTAGAGGGTACGACATATGTTTGGAGGGCGAGGTACGACAGGGTTTGGAGAGCGTGGAACGACGTACGTTTGAGGCAGGATGCGACATGGGTTTGGAGGGCTTGGTACGACATGCGCACGGGGTGGGATGCGACATGTTTGTGGAGTGTGTGGTACGACATGCGTTTGGGGTGGCACACAGCATGCATTTAGACGGCGTGGTACATGTGTTTAGGGGGCGTCGTACAGCATAAATTTGGAGTGCGTCATGCGACATAAATATGGAGCGCGTGATAAGACATGTGTTTGCAGGGCATTGTTTGTCCTGGTACAACATTGTCTGCAGGGCGTGGTGCGATAAACGTTTTGAGGGCGTGGTGCGACATGGTTTAGAGGGCGTGGTGCGACATGGTTTGGAGGGCGTGGTGCGACACGGCCTGGTTCTCGCGGCGCCGATGAGGAGCCCGGGGGCTGCGGCGACGGCCAGCCATCCCGCTGTTGTCGCTGAGCGCAGTCTCATGCCGTGGGCAAACCGTGTCGTGCTCTTGATCGGGGCGCTTGGGATGCGTTCAGGCCCGTCTGTTTGAGGATGCTCCCGCCGATAGGCGGAGGTCGCACCGCTATGACCTTGACATCTATAATGACACGCTGTTTGTTCGGTCAAGGTCGAACGTGCCGAAGTTCGCGGCCTAACGCAAGGAACTTGTTGAATGTCGATGATGATGCACAGGAACGTTTATTGAAATAAAACGTGGCACATAGTTCTTTTTTGAAGGCGGCAGTAAATGACTTGTTTCAACACCCGCCCGGATGGCCGATTGCATACCCTTCGCTAGGGTGAGGGTCAAATTGACGCCCCTGAAACCTCACAAACTAGGAACGATATGTACACCAATTTCACAGGGCGGGGGGGAGTTGGCCAGAGTGTGAACTCACTTGTGTCAAAATTTGAAGTCCCTAGATTATGAGTCTCCTATTAATAAGGTCAAATAAGGTCAAATCCCATATTGGCGTTCAAAGTGCCCCCTGGACCTCCTTATGCAACTGCCTTGAATTTAGATACCTACTTTCAGTAAAAGTCACTGGTGTTCGTTTCAAGTCAGTGGACCTTGACTGACCTTTAAAAGGTCATAGTGATCAAAAATCCCAAAATACTTCTTAGTTTGGCTTTTGAGTTAGCGGCAATGGTTGCGCTAGACGATATGTTCCTTTGAACAAAATGATGACCCGGCTCATGTAAGGCCAGCGACCTACATCCACCTGTAAAAGGCTTATTCAAGATTATGTTGCGGTTTTCGTTATTAACTCGTTCGAAATGATCACCACAGGCTACCACTTACAGCAATCTATCGAATAAAAATGCAGGTTAGGTTTACACCTTGGTCTGACCTTCACACCTGATCAAAGGCCATCGGAAGGTGTTGTTATCATAACTTGTATTGTTATGTTGCCTAAACAACTATCTTAGGGATGCATGTCTTCGTCTAACACTCAATTGCCGCATCAGGTTGAACAAATCCCTAGAAATAGCCTTCGCTGACAGCACCGGCCTGCCTTAACCTGTCATAGGTCAACGGCTTTAGAAGGCATCTGTTAATATTTTTACCAAAAGATCCGCCATTCAACTGAATGCATCCATGCATTGTTTAGTGCCACACCGTTCGGCAATGATTCTGGAAAAGCCAGCGTAGTAAAAGTAACGCCCCACCAGCGCGTGTTAGCACATGACCTTCTGCGGAGTGCTCAGTGGTTAGCTCTGTCCTCGCAACCAGTCAACGGATGGCGCGTTATCAAATGCAGTCTGAACCACTCTACATTTGCAGCGGGAGGAAACTATTTTTGTTGACCTTGTAAACATGGGTGCCCCAAGGTCAGGTGAAAGACACCCTTCCCGCTATTACTCACCGTCTTCCCCCTATTACTCACGGCCTTCCCCCTATTACTTTAAAGCTGTTCCCTACTGGCCGCGCCTTCTCATCGGACAGTGCAAGCCCTCCGGCAGTCGCACACGTGACCCGCTCGGCAGCCCGTCCTAATTGGCTGGACCGGTCGGCCGCCCCCGGCCATCGCAGAGGCGAGTCCAGCATCGCGCAGTGGGTGCATCTAGCACACGCCACCATACTCCGGTACACAAGATATATGATCGGTCTGGAAGGCTTACCACAACGGCACACGGACGTCAATAGCACGCACGAGTGATAAGCGGCGTCGCAGACCCTGTAGAGGTAATCGGCGTCGCAAAGCCCATGGAGGTAATCGGCGTCGCAAAGCCCATAGAGGTAACCGGCGTCGCAAAACTGGCGTCGCAAAACCCATAGAGGTAATCGGCGTCGCAAAACTCATAGAGGTAATCGGCGTCGCAGAACCCGTAAAGATAATTGGCGTCGCAAAACCCATAGAGGTAATCGGCGTCGCAGAACCCGTAGAGGCGGACGTCAGGGAGGTAAACATGGTGCTGTTGGGCCTCTATGCGCTCCGCCGCCTCCACCCTTAGCGCACAACGCTCCGCTGCCTTTTGACCTCGAATGCTGACACATTGGATTATCCTCCCGATGCGCTTGTCCGAGCCGCGTATGAGCCGGGTTGTTAGCATTCCGGCTTGATGATCACTATTGAAGGGGAGGAGCCACGGATGGTCAGCCTAAGCCACGTGATCATTCACGTGAAGTATTGTTCAAAAAGTGTCTTTTTTGCACGAAATTCACCGTGTGAGAAATAGCGCTGCATTTCCTGCCGCCTCCCATTCGGGCTGTTGTTCTCACTGCCGTTTTGTGCAAACCACGTTACAGAACACGTGTTTATGTTGCGGACCGCTCCACCTCATATTATGTCACTCAGGCGCACACTTGCCCTCCTCCCTACGGGTTTGTTGTCACTAGTATGGAGGCCAGCCTCCAGAAAAACGTATCTTTGACAGCCCTCGCCACCTAGTGAGCGCTAGCGAAGTAGCGTTTAAGGTGGCGTTACTGTCGATGCTCTGGGCAAGGGGCATGACGACATAGGGTGATACCACTATAGTTTTCTCCCGTAACCATATTACGGAATCGTAGCTGTTTTACCATGCCCTACTACATACAAAACATTAAACACGTAACATTTACACGTAACATTAAAACTACATACGGTTTTAATTGATTTCCTGGATTAATACCTTGTAATGGCAGATTTTACAAAGCTGCTGCGACGCACGTCATATGCCCCGTGCTGCATCCTCCCTCCACGTCCAGATTCTTGAAGATAAGGATGCGGAAGGTCTTCACAGGCACGTGCGGAACACACGGTCGGAGAATCCTGGTAAAATGCGCCGACAAAGGTGCATGAACACCTATGTTACAGTAGCAATGCGTAAAACTATACGTATGACGGTAAAAGCTGGCCTGGAGGCTATCACATGAACCGTGCCGTGGGAGAGGATAACGGAGACAACACGAAAGAGAATGTCCAAAGAGAATGCGCAGGCGTTAACCACTACTGACAAGAGAGAACACGTTCATTGCCGGGTACCGCGAAATGGACGTTTTTAGGCATTGCTGTGGAGCTGACAACTCATTGCCACTAATCCACTAACTAGCCATTAATCTAACCTACTAGGCGTCGGCTCACAGTAACCTCTCTGAAGCGCTTATCCTTCCGAAGGTGTACATATGTCAACGTCTCACATCAAATATGGAGTTTTTAAGCTTTTCTTGCTTCAGTCGCGACAGGGCGTAGAAATGCACAACAAATTTTGGTGTATTTTCCACATAGCTGGACCAAATGAGCTCATTTTTCAATAGATACACCTCACATTGTTCTCTTGCTGACAGCGAGTTTGAAGATAAGGGCAGTTAGTCACACCACCACAGCTTGTATCAGTACCTAAAAACCTTATTCGATCGCAGCACTTGTGCATCGGAGCTGCGCAACTGTGTCCGATCTCATTAAATACCGCTATAATTATTTTGGTCTGCCAGAATAAGACCTGGGCATAATAAACGCCTAAGGTATAGCCCACCCGAAGCCAAGGGTTCAAATCTGGCCGGTTGCCAGATTATTCCGGTTGCCAGGTTTTTCAGGTTCACAGATCCTTTAGGTTGTCAGATTCTTCAGATTTTTCAGTTAAGACTTGAGACCTACCAGCGATGCCGCTCCGTGATGATTGGTAGTTGTGTTGTTTAATGAGCGTGTTCCTTTTGAAGTGTGGTTGGAGTGGACATGTTTTTTTCAGCGTTTCTTTATCATACAACACAAAAAGCCAGAAGTGTAATTTCGCGAAATGAGTTGGGGGTCGGGGGCTGAACAGCAAAAAGTGATTTGACCTCCCCCCCAATGTGCTGACAAGCGGGTTTGTCCCCGGATTTGGCCCACTGTCTTCTCAAAGTTGGGGGCTGAGTTTCACGTTGGGAGTAGTAATCCACGTCGGGGGAGGAAACTGGTGCCCCCTTCCCCGCCCCCTCTTCATCCCAACTGAATAGGGAACTACACCGCTGTCATAGCTTTAATGATGAATTTATTCAGATATGGTAGGTTGCTTTCTTTGCACCCCTCCCCACACCGTTAACAATTTTCCAGATGCCATCTGTGACCAGGACCCGTGAATATGTATTTCAGTATCTATGACACGTATAGCTGTGAATACCGAAAAAGATTAACAGACTGGTAGCTGAATGCGAGTCCAAGACGAAGAAGCTCATTTGCCTTCGGCGAATCAAGCGAACAGGCTCAGTTCCTCTCCAATAGCCCTTGCCGCATGAACCAATTAGATCCTGTCTTGTCCTGGCCTTCTTCTACGTCACCACACATCTCCGGTTCGAGCCAATCCGCGCAAATCTAAGTCACGCCCTCCCTCGCGGCTGCTGTCTCCGAACCCACCCATGTCACGTGATGCCGGCTCCCGGCTGCAGTGACGTCAACTTGATCTCCGTGTGTTTGACCAATCACAGAACGGCAATGTCTTGCGGTAACGGCTGTTGTTGTTAGATGGCGGTACGCGGCGCCACTGTCGTGATTTTTCTGAGTGTTAAATTTCCCACTGCATTCGGATTTAGCAAGTGATCAGTACTCTAGCTTAGCCGCGACGCTCACTGGCTACGCTCACAAAAAGACAACATTAATAATGAATGAACATAAGCATCCCCTTTACCACTCGATGAACATCCCGCTCGCAACGGGATGCATTCTTCGTAAAAGCTCCCTATGCCACGAAAACCGGAGGTGGGAACGTTTCATTCGAATGGTGAACAGGGATATGCCAAACGGCCCGTGGTGATAAAGCTTGCATTTTTCAGCATGATAACAAAATCAATGTCCTACAAACACGCACGTTGTGAAATGTGACAATGCTTCATGCCTTCCAATACCCTCCCAACCAAACACAACAAAGTCGAAAACTTCGCCCAACGTGGGGCTCGAACCCACGACCCTGGGATTAAGAGTCCCATGCTCTACCGACTGAGCTAGCCGGGCAACGGGCACCGGCGTTCCAAATGTTAAAGTGCTACGTAATGCATTAACATGCTGGGCATGGTGTACTCTTATATAGCGATGTTCAATCTTTTTTCTAGATGTGTCTGAAGCATTTCATGATATGCGTTCGATATTGTTTCATGGAATCTCGTTCCGAAAGCACAAGATTTATACTTTGCAAGTTAAGGCTGACTTGAGTATTGAAAGGTTTGCGACCTTTACAGGTTCAGGTATAAGTTTGTGGCCTCACAGCTATTCCCAGTTCAGTAAAAGCGTACTTGTTGGTTAAGCTATCAACTCTTGCTC